TGGGAGGGGGCAGTGTTTATTCTAAGAAAAAAATAAACACCTTAGGGCGTTTATTTAGGGGAGGCATTTATTCCAAATGAGGATCCAGAGGGGAAGTTTATTCAAGGGGGCATTTATTCAAATAACTTATTTTTACATATTTCCTTTTTAATGCACCTAATGATAACAATAATACTTAATACATTGTTCTTTTCTATTTTTTTTATTCTGTTCATATATTTGGGTATATTTTATTGCATAAAAGAAGCTCGCATACAACACAGTCTCTTGCAGCATACGCTGAATTGAAAGACTCAGTAAAATTACAAAGATATAAAATGGCAATTAAAAATTTACAAATCATTAAAATATTGCAATATTAAATATGAAATTTATTAGAAACATTAAAAAGACAAAGTCACAAATTACAAAGACAAGAGTTGCAAAAGAAGAAATTCAAGACAAATTTAACAATTTAAGTTAAAAGTCAATAAATATATATACAAATTTTCACTTAAAAAATATACAATATTAAAGCTTAAGATACTAAAGTTGATAACAGTGGCGTAACACCTATGCGCTCTCGTGTGGTGGTGCGCTCTCGTGTGGTGGTCCGCAGGGCATCCCTAAGAACTCGGTCCTCAATCTAGCACCCTGACCCAGGAGTGCTTCGTTGATACATAACAGCATAATGTGTCACTGACATTGACTGTATATCATATTATATCTAGTGGCGAATTAAAGGGCCCTAAATTTTTTAATTTACGTTTGTGAGTGCCATTTCCAGCCATTTAGAGGTGCCGTAATCATAAATTTTCTTACCTCAGCCCCAACCATGGTGGGGCTCATGTGGTATTGACCCTTTATCAGTGAAAGAAAGTCTCTCTCTAGGCCCTATTATTATATTTTTATTAATTTTAACCATTCTGCTAACAGAATATTCGGTGGTCATTGACGTAAATTAATTACGTTGACACTAAAGCAAACAAGACAGTAGAACTTATTGTTATTATTGTTAATAGTGATATTTAGGATATTAGTGTAGAGAGATAAATAAAAACAAAATCTTGCTTTCTTATTCAATAAGTATTTTACGGTATATGAACTGTTTATTATTTTTCAATTGCAGTATCACAAATTATTAGTTTTTGTTTTGACTTGATATACAGTATTTATTTATTTATTTATGTATTTTTTTAATATTTTGTATATTCGCTTTCTAATCACTAGGTAACTGAGGATCAGAGGTATGGCGATATGAAAGGTCATCTTTTCTTTACTTTTTCCATCTTGTCTTATCTTTCTGTTCATTTCCTTTCCTTTCTCATATTCCTAATATCTTTCCATTTTTCTTTTTCTTTTTTTTTCTTTTTCTTTTTTTTTCCTTTCATATATTTTCCTTCTCTTTCCTTTCCTTTTCTTTCTTATTTCCTTTCTTAGGTTTCCTTATCTTTTCTTTCCTGTTCTTTCTTATATTTCCGTACCTTTTCCTTTCTTATTTTTCCTTATCTTTCTTTTCCTTTCTTATTTTCTTATCTTTTCTTTCCATTTCCTTTCTTGCAATTCTTTGTTGCTTCTTTTGTTTTCATTCTTGTTTCCTTTCTTACAATTCATTGTTGTTTCTTTCTTTTTCTTTCTTATGTTTCCTTGTCTTTTCTTTCCTTTCTTATATTTCCTTATCTTTTATTTCCATTTTCTTTCTTATCTTATATTTTCTTTCCATTCCTTACTTGTTTTCACTTTCTTATCTTTCCTTCCTTCTCCTTTCTTAGATGTCCTTTCTTTTATTTACTTTTCGATGTTCCCTTATCTAATCGCCGTACCAACTATGTCACCACTAATCCTCAGATAGTTTCCCTTATCTAATCGCCGTACCAACTATGTCACCACTAATCCTCAGATAGTTGATAAAACAAATTGATAATGTATTAATTCGTTACGCCACTCAGAAAGCCACAGGGCCCCCAGCCCCATCGTTACACCACTGGTTGATAATTTACCATAACAATAACGCTGTTTAATAAATGTAAAAATTTGAATTTAACTTTGTGTGAACAAGATGAAATTGTTTACAAATAATAAGTGTGTTTTTGAAGTTGTTATACCTTTCAAGCTGTCTCTTATACACATCTAGATGTGTATAAGAGACAGCATCATCTCAACATCATCTAAAAGGCA